GAGCTCCTGGTTCCCAGTCTGGATGTGCTCCAGACAAAAAGATTGACAATACTTGTTCCTAAGTGAGCAACATTCAAATAAAATTGCCCCGCCTCTTCTGCGCCTTGGTCAAATAAGAAAATTATGCTTGCCAATCTAGTCATCAAAAATATTGCCACAAGGGCAAAATAAATGCAGATAGTCAAGAAACTAGGATCTAAAAAAACTTCCTCAGTGGGTGTCCCGGGTTCTCTGTTCACTCTCTATTTGTTTTCTCTGTAAAGGGATAGTTTTATGGGTGGGCAACATATGAGGGTTTACCTATATAGTTTCAGGGAGCAATGACCACAAGCTCCTTTTCCCCAATATTGCATTGTTTATTGATGAATTCCTATAGCGATTAATTAAAGTTTCTACAAATAAAGGTAAAATTTAAAATACCGATCTCACTAAGAAGGTAATATACTGATTTGAATTCACACAAAGGGGATGTTCATACATCGTAACTGCAATTGAACAAGATTCATCCACCCATGAAGGAGACCCAGGCAAAGCCCTGTCTGCAGGGGGTACACACTCTAATGGAGGGAACATATGAATCTAACCACACCGTGGATAAAGGCGGTATGTAATATGCTTTCTGGTGGAGGAAAGCAATGCTATGTGAATACAAAAGACAGAGATTACTCTGACTTGGGGGTTTTGGGGAAGATTTCCTTGAACTGCACAGTAGTCACAGGAAGAATGGGGAGGATGGTGGTTCCACTAATAACAGTCAAGAAAGACAAGGAACACAATTATGAAATTGTGAAAACCTAGACAGCTTAATGATCATGTTAAGAGATAATAGGTGGGACACAGAAGTGGAAGTACGAGGTATACATGGAGGTTTTTCAATATTACAAGATATGAAAGACCCAGGCTTACCTTCACTCAATACTCCTAGGGACACGATTTCCCCATACGGTGAGCCATGGTACCAGTATTTCAACGTAGTGGCTATACTGTGTGCAGCTAACATGCCTCCAAATTGTTTTCCTGTGGCAGTCAAATCTTTAAGAGTTGTCACAAATTCTCTGTTTATCCACTCACTATATGAAAAGAAAGAAACAATTTTTCAATCAAGCGAGAAGTGGAAATAAAAAAGACTGCTCCCTAGGTCAATGAATCTGAGTACAAAAAAAAAATCATCTCTACAAAAGAGAGATACAACTTCCTTTGTCCTTTCTTTAAGCATCTTCCATCCCATAAAAAATCGATTGAAAAGTAATGAGACAGAGCAGAAAGGAATCCCAAAGTTTCAAACGAAACACCTGATAATACAAATATGAAACACATGATAATACAAATATGAAACACAGAAAAGAGGTCAAAGGCTGCAAGAACAGTTACTTTCATGACGAAGACTTTATCCTGTGTAGATACTATCTTGGAATGGGTGGTATTCACTTTAAATAAAATAACATCATAAAATGTTGAATTATTCACACTGAGAACTAGAGAGATAACTTTGTCTTTATAATCTGAGGTCTCAAGGCGGGGAATAGTCCAGTTGGACTAGAACAAGCACTAAATGGCTGCCCTTGCAAAGCCATCAAGCTGCAGTTCCATTAGACACTGCCCCTACCCAGGCAACAAATGCAGAGGAACCTGCTCTGAGAGTATGATTTCTAGGGTCCGAGGAAGGGAGGGAAGGGGAAGGAGGGCCATTGGAAAGGAAAGTGCTGCCAAGTGTTGCAAAATGCTTCAAAGGCTCTTCTCCCCGCTTCTCTCCTCTGCTGAGCACAATGATAGGGTTGACTGTGGTGGGCACAGTTTGAAGGGCTTTACCTGTAATATTAACTCATGTAATCTTCCCAATGACCCTGCAAGGCCCTTACTGTATTACCACTTCCACTCTGTAGATGAAGACCCTGAGGAATAGGGAGGTTAAATAACTTCTCTAAAGTCACACAGCTCATAATTGGCTGTGTGAGAATTGCAGCTCAGTTGCCTTGGGCCTAGGGACTGTGCTCCTCACTGCTCCTGCGCTTTGCCTCTCTGGGACAGCACACCCAGCAGGGCCTGAGCTTGCTCACCATCTTGATCCCTCGAACCCTGGCCGACTAATTTCAACCTGGATACACATCTCTGCCTTTACAGTAAATGAGACTCACATTACATACCTTGCCTTAGAGATAACTTTAATGGGATATGTGAGACACTTTAAGGATAATCTGAAATGTAAAAAATTTATAATTTCAAAACTAAATAAATTAGGGGTGGGAATTGACTAGTTGAAATCTTATGGAACTTTCTATGTCTCTTCAATAGAGAGCGTAAACAAAGATGAGTGTGAACAGCCAAGTTATTTTTGCCCAAAGATTTCCAAGATGGTTTAAAAGATTACAACAACTATTATTCAACACTGTTAGGATACTCCACTTAGAAATAGACAGTACCTATCAAAAACCAAGCTTAACACAGGGCGAGAAAAGTGAGGAGGTCCCCAAATAGCACTCTCATATTTGTAAATCTTGGCTTTTCTCAGATCAACGTAGCAATTTCCACTAATATTACCCCAAATTATCACATCTTTGATGTCTGTGAAGAAAAGAAATAAAAATTAACCTAATAATGAACTTCAGTATACAAAATTGCCTGACGCCTATTTTTTCTTTGTGCTTGTTTTAGGATTGGACCTTTTGCTATAAAATAGATCAAAGTTTATGCTGCCTAAAATGGTGCAAATCATGTGGCTCAAGCATCTCTTTAGTCAGGGTTTGGCAAGCCTTACTCATGCTCTATGAATGGTGTGGGCACACAACTGAAATCCAGGAATCCTGGCATGCTCCATGAAGATACTGCTGCTGAAAACTGTACCACTCGCCTTGGTCCTGACTTCATTAACCTGCTTACCTTAGAGAACTGTTTTAAAATTATTTTTTAAAACATTGATGACCTTTTTAACTGTTGTCACAGGGAAAAAATGGAATATCAGGTTTCAAAGTCTTACTTGCAAAGTATAAACCTTATTATAGAACAATGGACAAGGTCAGGTGGTCACAAAAGCCAGTTAAAAAAACATGTTTGCACAGTGGTCAGATCACACACTAAGAAATTCTTTGTATGGGCTTCGCACTTCCTACCCCAGACTCCTGAAGGTTTCCTAGAGGGTACGGGCTTCTTCCCAGCTGCTTTGAAATCATGCTTGCTTAGAAACGCAAGCAGAGACATGTGTTCACTCACATGAGGGGGATGTTTTCATCTTCCTGGCCAGCGTTGCTCTGGCCTGCCCTTCCACCCCCAGTGCCACGGCGACAATATTGTGCACGATGCTCGGGGCGTATCTCATGAGCAACAACGTTTTCAGGTTGACAAAGGTTTTTCCTCCCACGATGACTCGGACCGAGTCGCGAGCATTCTTCTCGATCAGGTAGCCATAGAGCCTGCACAGAGGCACCCTGCTCCGGAGGCATTCCTCCATCGTGTACACCTCCTTGGTCGTGGGGTCGTCCAGGATGATGATCACATGGGCCTGGCGGAAGGCATCCTCCACTCTGGTGCAGATGGAGATGCTGCGCAGCACCGGCGACACCAGGTCCTGCACTTCCAGGGCGAGGTTCTGGAGGGTTTTTTCCGCCTGTTTGTTGTCAAACAGAGCTATGCTGATTTCCGTGTGCATTCCGAACACCTCCCCGCTGGTCAGGATGGGGATGAGGCTGTAGCAGGCAGGGGTAGACGCACTAAGTGTGCAAAGCAGGATTAGCAATGGTTAAAGCTTTTGTCCCTTTTAAGCTTTTATTCTTTAAAAAACATATCCTCTCTAATAAAAGAGAAACATGGTAATTAGCTGTACAACCACTATCCTTCCCATTGGCTAATCAGGGCGATATGCAAATTAACTTCCAGCCAAGATGGGGGCCGGCAGCCAGGCAGCTTGAAGCGAACATGAGGCTTGCTTGCTTCAGGGACAGAGGAAACCAACATTCCCCGCCTGCATTGCCGGCCTCTGAGCTTGCAGTTTGAAACATTGTTACAAATATAGAAGCTAAACAAAACCCCAGAAACCTGCTTTCAGCCAGCCAGGATCTCAGAGCTGGAGCTGATACAGTGTTTCGATTATAGAACCCAAACAAACCAGATACCTGCTTTCAGCAGCAGAGGCCTCAGAGCTGGAGCCAGAGCTAAAGCTGGCCCAGAATAAAAAAATTAAAAAAAAAGAATAAAAGGAGTGGTTGGGAGCTTCAGTCACCCGCCAGCCTGAAAACAACCCTCAGCCCCTCACCCAAACTGGCCAGGCACCCCAGTGGGGACCGCCACCCTGATCCAGGACCCTCTTCAGGGCAAACCAGCCGGCCCCCACGCATGCACCAGGCTTCTAGCCTATATAGTGAAAGGGTAATATGCCTCCCAGCACCGGGATCAGTGGAGCTGCAAAGCCTCCCAGCACCGGGATCAGCGTGACAGGGGGCAGCGCCCAAACCCCCTGATCGCCCTGGGGCTCTGTGTGTGACAGGGTGTGGGACCACAACCTCCCTTTCAGCCCTGCTCTGTTCGTGACAGGGGAAGGTGCCCCAAACCCCTGATTACTCCTGCTCTGTGCCTGATAGGGGGGAGCTCCCCAACTCCCTGATCGCCCTGTGGCTCTGTGTGTGACAGGGTGGGGCCCCCCACCCCCCCGCCAAGGGCCCTGCTCTGTGTGTGACGGGGTAGAGCCAGAACCTCCCCATCGGCCCTGCCCTGAGTGTGACAGTGGCAGCGCCCCAACCCCCTGATCCGCCCTGCTCTGTGTGTGACAGGGGGCGGTGCCCCAACTCCCCTATCGGCCCTACTCTGGGTGACAGGGGGGAACTCCTCAACCCCCTGATTGACCCTGCTCTGTACGTGACAGGGGGGAGCTCCCCAACCTCCTGATGGGCCCTGCTCTGTGCGTGACAGGGGGCGGCGCCCCAACTCCCCAATCGGCCCTGCTCTGAGCCCGACCAGGAGCTGCACCTAGGGATTGGGCCTGCCCTCTGCCACCCAGGAGCAGGCCTAAGCCAGCAGGTCGTTTTCTCCCGAGGGATCCCAGACTGCGAAAGGGCACAGGCTGGGCTGAGGGACCGCCCCCCTCCCCGAGTGCACAAATTTGTGTGCATCGGGCCTCTAGTATATATATATAGAAGCCTGGTGCATGAAGTTCGTGCACTTGGGGTGGGGGAGGTGAGGGGAAGGATCCCTCAGCCCAGTCTGTACCCTCAGTCTGGGAGCCCTTGGGGGATGTCTGACAGCTTAGGCCCGCTGGTAGTCAGACACCCTTAGCACTATGCCAGCCCTGAGCCCAGCTTCTGGCTGAGCAGCGCTACCTCTGTGGGAGCACACTGACCACCAGGGGGCAGCTCCTGTGTTGAGTGTCTGCCCCCTGGTGGTCAGTGCACATCATAGCGACCAGTCATCCTGCCATTCGGTTGATTTGCATATTAGCCTTTTATTATATAGGATTTGTATTGATTTCAGAGAGGGAAGGGAGAGAGAAATAGAAACACACACACACACACACACACCCCTCAAACTTGACATTCAGATCTTCTATCACAGAGCTAATCCCACATCCTCCTCTCTTCAAATATAAACAGCCAGCCTTGCGAATCCTGGGCTTTGACTGTCCCACCTGGTGATCCAGACCTGCAAGGGGTCAGTGAGGTCTTTCAGGGAGTCTTTCTCCAGCTCCTTTTGTATATGAGCCTCCAAGTTCTCCTGAGCAATTGCCTTCATCAGCTCAGTTGTCATGCTAGAGGTGACGTCGTAGTAAAGCTAAACATGGCAAAAGAAGAAGTCAGCCCTCGAGAGAAGACAATTAGTGGATAATGGTTCTAATGGAAAGATCTTGTGTAAAGCCAGAAGGGAGTAAAAAGAGAGTTGAGAGAAGACTTTAGAAAGCAAGACACTGGAAAAATGAAACAATGTGTGAGAGATTGGTAATGTTTTAAACAGATAAATCAACTTAACTTACATACCTGGGCATGCTCCAGGAACTCATTATACCCTCCCAGAAGCAAGCCCTTGCCTCCGCGATCCAGCAGCTCCCTCCAGATGATGGGGGAACTTTTGTGGCTCCATTTATTCTTTTCACACACATCTCTCAGCCACTCCTAGTGAATGATATTCCAAGTGCAGTCACACATTAAATAGACCTCAGAATTCAATACTTTAGAATTCAAACACTAAAATACTGGCGCTTTTTTTTTTGCCATTACTGAATATACATAAAATTTAGATAGCATAAAATTTACATTAGTTCAAATGTAAATATAAAAAATAGTGATGAGTTAAATAACAAATTAAGCAAATAAGAAAGAATATTCTTCAAACCCACTGACAAAATAAAGGCTGTGGATGCCACTGGATCACTTTAAGTTTCTTTGCCAAAGAGACCAGCAGGCAAGGGAAGGAGTTACCATCCTGGAGGGAATAATTGGCCCTGATGATCAGAAACATGTAGGGCAGCTATCATCCAATGTGGGCAGAAGAGAATATTTGTTGTCTAGATGATTTACGGGGGCATCTTTGGTACTGTCTTGCTCAATTTTGACAACAAGTGGACAAGTGCACAGTTGCATCCTATAAAAGAAATGGAGTCTAGGGTGCACAGATACAGGTATAAGTCATCACACCTAACAAGTCACTTAGACCAGCGGAGAGTAAGAGGACTCTAGAATGGACAACAGAGAAGAAAGGTGGTGAATGTTAGTTGCAGCCCTGAAATGATGGGTAGTGGAGACTATAGTTCATGTGACTAACCTTCTTATAAAGTTTTCCTAGGGAGAGAGGCCAACCAGAATCTTGGACAAGCTGTTCCCAGATGGTGTGAACCTATTACACAGAGCACGCAGACGCAAAAGGCACAATGGGTGCACTGTGGCGGGTCCTGTCATTGCAGTCCAGATTGCCCCTTCACGACCCAGGCCCTCAGTCCCTCAGCCACCGGGAGTGCTGGCTGCCGACTGCTCAGTGCCCAGTCTCCTTCCAGGAACTGGCTTTAGCTGAAGGAAGTTCTCTTGCCTTAAGTTAAATGCCTTTCCTGGACAGCCGGCATCCAGTGACTGTTACCTGGGGGAGTACAAAAGCCCGGCCTTCTTTGCCTATTTTGGGGGTATCTCTGAAAGGCTAACCCAGCTTCAGTTCCCTGTATGACTGGCTGAGCCCTTTGTTGCAGCTGATGGCAATTCAACTCCTTCCATTGCCCAATGCTGCTGCCCTCATTCCTTCCCAGGATGTTGTTCCCAAGAGCACCCCCCAGTAAAGGAAATTCCTTCGCCTAAATCTTCATCTCAGTCTGTTTCTGGGGAAACCCAATCCCAAAGAAGGGTATTTTGATAAACAAGCACCTCATTAAAAATCAATATGAAGGTGAATGAAGAGTTAAGCAGTGCAATAAGAGTTACTTGGATTCTACCTCGTGTATTCTAATTGGTATTAGGAAAAAAAATAATGCTTTGAGGCTGTTAAGTGCTTTATTTTATTAGTAGTAAAATGTAAGTAGTACATGAACATTCATTGCTGGAAGCCTACCTGATATACTAGCTAATGTTAATCAAATTCGAAACATTTTTGTGCATGTGTAAGATTAATAAACTGTAAAGGCTTCTTACCTCCCAAACATCAGGATGTTGGGTAATTTTAAATACATGAAAATCAGGAAGATTCTTTTGTAAATAGTCTGCCAGGATTTCAGCTTTAGCATAATATGGGTCATCTGCTCTACCTAAAAGAGTTCAAATTAGCAGTGTCTTCTTTTGTCATACAGAAATTATCATGCAGTTTTAAGTATATGCTATATAATTAATCATGTAGTTACATTTTATAACATAGTTATAGTATAAATTGCCGCCACATAAACTTTTGATTTTTACTATATTGGTAAAAAGGTCAGAATCTTAAGTAATAAAACGTGGAAAGGAAAAAAAGACTATTCAATATTCACTCTCCTCCAGTACTATGTTAGATCTCACTTCCTCTAAGAGGCTTACATGCTACTAATTAAACATGAACTATTAGCAATGAACTACTCATTAGTAGCTAAGAAAAGCAAAGTGTGAAGTGAAGAGTAGTGGTAGAATCACATGTGGATTTGATGTATGTGGCAGCAGTATTGGGGGGAGGAGAAGCTGAGGAAGAGAGGAGAGTCTAGGATAACTTCTACTTTCTGGCTTGAGTAGATGATCCTTAACTTAGCAGAGAGAAATCACAGGTGATAAGTTTATTGCTAAGTGCAGTTGGAGGGATCTGTAGCACATCTAAGTGGATGTGAGCAGCAGGCAGCTGCATGTGTAAGTCTGAATTGCAAGCTCTATGAAAGGGCTTAAGATGTAGCCATCAACACACAGGAAGTTAAAGCCACCAATGTGCATGGGATCGGCTGTCTGATTGGCAGGGACCACATGTAAAAGTCTCTCTATAGCATGCTTCCCCATCTACCATAATTACCAGTTCTTTGACCTCATGGAGACTTCTAAGTCATCAATCCCTCTCAACCTCCCCCTGTCTATTGGCCTCTCTGTCTTGTTCAAATCCATCCTTCATAAATCCAAGCCACTCTCTGGCTAATTTGCCCCACTGTGCTCTGGCAAATACACCTGATAAAAGCCCATCACTCTGGATGAACCAAATTACCTGTCTTTCCTAGGCGTATGTCCCACCTGCTAGATACCCCTGGAGAAACATGGCAGAACCAAGCCTAGAGGCGCCATTACATTCATGGCCATCAGCCTCAGCTGGCCCTCAGATCAGCATTCTCTTCTTTTCTCCACAACTGCTGTTCCAGACTTTGTCCACTTCCTTCAAATCTCTTCCTTCTCTCCAACATTTTTTCTGGGCCACCAGAAGACAATAGATAACCTTGCTCTCTACTTTACAAAAACAAAGCCAACTCATAGACCAAGGCATCAGTTGGGAAAGACCCCAATCTCATGCCATCACAGGTACCAGCCCCTCTGCATTTGGATGAATCCTTTCCTTCTTTCTTCTATTCAATGGAAGAGGGACCCTAACTCCTGTTCGGGTCTCATCTTACCACGCATGCTCTGAATACTACCTTCTTCTGCCTTCAGAATGTTCATGGATTCTGCTCAGTTTCTTTCTAGAATCTTATCTCTGTTTCTAATGAAACTTTTTCTTCATATTTAAATATGCTCATTATATTTGTTTCTCCTGTACTAAAAAACAAAAAGTCCATGCCCCCCATAACTATTGTCTTCCGCTTGACCTTTTCTATTAACACTTTCTTCTTTTTTTATTAATAAAAGAGTTCTCTACACTTGCCATCCCCAGTTCTTTACTTCCATTTATTTCTCATCCCACAGCAATGTGGCTTTCCCCATCATTCTCTAGAACAGTGGTTCTCAACCTTCCTAATGCCGCGACCCTTTAATACAGTTCCTCATGTTGTGGTGACCCCAATTTCATTGTTACAAATTGAAAATAATTAAAGCATAGTGACTAATCACAAAAACAATATGTAATTATATATGTGTTTTTCCGATGGTCTTAGGCGACCCCCGTGAAAGGGTCATTCAACCTCCAAAGGGGTCACAACCCACAGGTTGAGAACCGCTGCTCTAGAAGGTCACCAGGACCTCCATGTCACTAAATTCAATAAACATTTTTAGTGACCTTTGTTGACCCTTGGCAGCATTTGGCCCACTGCCACTCTTGCTTGGGCATTCTCCAGGATTTCTTTCTACTCCTCTGGTCACTTCTCACTCTACACTGTAGGTTCTTATTCCTTTATCAATACATTAAAAGGTGAACATTATGCAAGGCTTCTTCTCTTCATATCCTGCACATTCTTCCTGGCCAATCTTCTCCACTCTTTTGGGTTCAAGGAGCAATCTGTATTTCCAATTCAGGCCTATCTCCTTATTCAGTTTACTATACCCTTCTGTGTTCTTTCATCTCCTTCTTAATGTCCCATAGACACTCAGCATATCTATGATGGATTTTGCTACCACTCCTCCACTAAATCTGCTCCTTCTCATATATTCTTTATGTCCATCTATCAAGTTATCTAAGAGTATCCAGAGTATTAAGCCTGTTCTTTTTCAGTAACTCATCTACCAGAAGATGTGGTTGCAGCACTGCTTAGGAATAATTTTAACTCTTTCCTCTCCCTTACTTGCCTCCCTCCACCAAATTAGACAACTAATTCTATGGCTTCTGCCTTCCTAACATCTCTCCAATCTACTTACTTCTTTCCATTTCTGTTTCCTACCAGCCTAGGTCAAGCCAACATTATCTCCTTACAAAACTATAGCAGCTGACTGGGCTCTTGGCATCCAGTCTTTCTCTTCCCACACTGCAGAGATAACACTCAGATAAAATGCAAATTTGACTATGTCCTTCCCTTCCAAAAACCTTCCATGTATTTCAGATAAAGTTTAAAATATTGAACACGGCTTACAAGAGTCTACATCACTAACTCTGGCCTTAGGCTATGATACTCCTTTCTTTGTTCTCTTTGCTCCAATCCCACTAAATCTATATTAATTTTCTATTTATTGTATACTCTCAATCACCATCAAGCTAGTTCTCCTCATTTCAACCCCACTTCCTACTACCCATGCCTAAACTGCTCTTTTCCTTCTTACCTCTTCTCTGCTGGTAGGTCCCTTTCAGGTCCCTGCTTAAAAGTCACTGCCTCTAGGAAGCTCCCTTGCATGACTAAGTAAGGTCCTCTGCCAGGGCCACTGCTCCTATCAAACCCTGCCCTCCCACTGCCACATGTGCAGCATTCTTTGCACATTGTTTACCGTCTTTCCAGCATACAGTCTGTTGATGCTCAAAAATATCCTTCTGAATGAATAAAGAAGCAAAGAAAATAGATTTTCAGAAAATGGGAGGTGCCAACTGTGTTAGTACATCAAAGAGGCCAAAAAAGACAAGAACCAGACAGCTTCTCTCAAGTCATTGGTGATTCTTTGAGGGCCATTTCGGAAAGGAGGCAGATGTAGAAACCAGATTGAGTGGAAGGAGCACCTAGAAGTAGAAGAGCAGTCTAACCCTTTAAAGAATCTTGTTGAGAAGAGAAGGAGGCAGGTACAATAGCATGTTGTAGCAAAAGACTCTTCAGTGCTTTTCTGGATGCCAGTCATCACTTCCTATCCTTCCCCTCCATTGCTGATAAGGTGGGTGTCCTAAAATGCAGGCCCATTAAGGATACTACTGCTTTTAAGGTACAGTTCAAACACCTTTGCTTGGTGCACTTGAAGATCTGGTTGCAGCTCCCCTTCTAGCTCCAGGTCCAGTCACTTCCTCCATATCCAGATCGTCCATTAGGCCATGAGGCTCTTAGCCTCTTTGCCTTTATCTGGAATGGCCTCCCTATGTCAAACTTTCACACATCAGCTCCTGAACAACCCCCAGAGCCCTGTGCACGTTTTCTTCATTGCATTGATCACATTGTGTCAAAATTACTTGTTCACATGCTTCTGTACACCATGAGACTGAACGTTTCTCAAAGGCAAGGACGTGCCCGCTCCCCCCACCCCTTCCCCCTATATGTCCAGTGCCTGGCAGTGCTTTGCACAGGGGCACTGCCCCATCAACATCCTTGAGTGCCTGTATCAGAAAGCCTGGGGTGGTCCATATGGAGGCTGGAGTTGCTAAAGCAGAAGCCAGTTAAGATCACTGCCAAGCGGCTATAGGGAGCCAGCAGTTGTTGGTGTTTTCAGTGATCTGCGGGCTTACGCGGGGATCACTCACCCGCAAGCACGAACTTGGCCATGGTGAAGCTTTAGTCCCCCGGCAGACTCCGCAACTCCGCAGTTTCCTGGCAACCACGCTGCCAAGGACGCGGCGCAGGCGCATTCTGTAGCTGAACGCGGGGTCTGGCGCCCCGCAGGGAAGATTAGCTGTTTCGGTACACGATCAAACGTAGCCTATAAAAGCTTTGCGATCTCCCCCATTCCCATCATTGAAGCTAAGAACACTAGTCATTTCCTTTGGTAGGCTTTCTTTTCTCTAGGGTCGGGCGAATCCTTCTCCAATCGCTGCGAGCGAACACTTTTGGCCCTCAGAAGGACCCGTCAAATATGTCAAATCTCGCGAGACGAGCAGTTCGCGGGCGTGCGGTTCGGCTGTTCCCGAAGGCAGCCACGGGGTTCAGGGCTAAGGTGAGTGGAGGACGCGCACGGCGGGACAGTTGGCGGGGCTACACTCTAGATTTGTGGCTTTTCGAGACGGGTCTCAGGGGTTCCCCGGCATTGAGTTCAGGAGCGGGGTGAACCCGGGAGGCCGAGTTCCGCACGGACGGGCTGCTGTCGCTGGTTCTGAAACCCGGGAGCTGGCAGGTGTCTCCCCCTCCCGCACTCAGGCCACACAAGCGCATCACTTTAGTTTGCTGCTCTGTCTCCGGAGCCGTTCTCCTGGGTCCAAAGTCTTGTTCTTAATAGTCCAGGTTCTAACGCCTCTTGTTAACAAGTTATGGATCGGCGTTAAAGCCTTACGTTTCTTTGAAGACATCTCCAAGGCAATGTAGAGGAATCTTTGTGGGGACACTTTCCATCGGAAATCCACGTCATTTTTAAAAAAACCTCAGTTGTACCGAGTATAGTGCTTCCGAAGCAACCTGGCTCCTCCGAGGCCGCACGTGTGTGGAGGTGGAGGAGGCACGTCTTGGTCAGAGAGTTCACCATTTTAGTGTAAATCTTTCACGTCTCCGCAGGTCTCCGCTTTAGTGTCTGTTGTTTGCATACCGTTTAAGTAAGAGCTGTGCTTCCATTTTTATTCCCTTCCTAACCCCTTCCCCGCAGGAAAGCAGCGGCATGTGCTCTCTTCCGCCGACAGGAGCGATGTTGGTAACATCCTGACACCTTTGGGGAAGTGCTTCCGTGGAGAGCAAAATGAGTAACAGAGCGGGCTCCTTTCTCTGGAACCTCCGGCAGTTCAGTGCTTTCTCTCCCACCAGCAGAACCGTGAGGCCGAACCCTTTGGGATTTTGCAGACCAGAAATTGTTTATTCAAACTGGAGCCCAAGAAACCATCCCTCCAACGACTTTGCTGGTAAAACGCAATCACCTATTAGATATCTCTTTCAGGATGCCTCGGTTTTTAAACCAGGAGATGATGTCTTTCAAACGAAGGGCATCAGCCCCGCAACCGCCCTTCGGGTCAACAGATTCTTGTGTCCTAGAAGGCTGTCCTTTGACTCAAAACAGTCTCCGGTCCCTGAGGATGGATTGAAGAAAGTGCACTTTGATCACGAGGCCTCTGACGAAGATGTTCTCACCAGGGAGACAAAGCCCACCCCCGTCAACTTTAGGAAACTGTCGCAGGGTAATTCCCTGAGTGATGTGTTAGATGCATTTGCAAACGCACCTTCCTTTCCCAGTAGTAACTATTTCTCAGCCATGTGGACGATTGCCAAAAGGATGTCCGATGACCAGAGACGCTTTGAAAAACAGCTCATGTTCAGCCACCCTGCATTTACCCAGCTGTGTGAACACATGATGAGAGAAGCCAAGATCATGTTCTGCGACCACCTGCTCTTCAGCCTCTATGCTATCGTGAGGCTCGGCATTACTCAGAACACTCTGCTGGTTCAGACTCTGCTGAGGGTGGTTCAGGTATAATCAGCAGGAGTCTTAATCATCCTTTTACTCAGGTTGTAGATCTTGAATGAATGAAGGGAAACGGAGGGGTAGTCTTGGCATATCTTGAAATAATGGAGGGAAGTAGACTATCAGAGGAACGGTAGTTTCCTTTTTATTTGCGTCTGTATATATGATTTAGGGTCCTTAAATTAGCCAGGTCTGTCTTTCCTTTTGCTCTGAAATTTATGACAGCTTGCCCCTTTTTTCCTCTTCAGAGTTGAATAATAATGATGAGTAAGATAAAATGAGGAGAGAGAAAAAATATGCAAGGAAGTTTGGGTAGTTAAAGGAAGGAAAAAGGGTGTACCTACACCTCTTCCTTATATCATTGTATTCAGTCCTCTTAACAGCTTTGTAAAGTTGATGTTAACCTTAGTTTTGCAAATGAGGAAACAGACTTAGTGATGTCAAGCAAGTTGGCTAAAGTCACCCAGCTAGTGGATTCTTTTATGCAGTAGATATTGGGTGTCAGCTGTGCATCAGTTACTGAACTTGTCTCTAGGGATAGAAAGATACAGAAGACATGATTCCTACCCTTACAGTCTGGAGGGTATACGGCTATTTTGTGGGCAATCACAAAAATAACCAACATTCGAGTCCTATATTAACTGTGTTACAGGCATTGTACTGAGCACAAGGGGATTTAATTGTGAACAAAATAATACCTACAAAGAACTTCCCGGTGCAATGAAACAAAAGTATAGAGTCTTGTGAGAGTATAATGGGCGTCCATTCTAGTCAGGAGAAGGCCTTCCTGAAGGGAAGAGGAGATGAGGCAGAAGGATTCAGGATTAGTGTTTGAGGCAGAGGTATGTTTGAAAACAGTTGCTGCGTGTAATCTTCAGTGTAGCCTTTTAAAATAGGTATTGCTACTCTCATCTTACCAATGATTAGGAAATTTAGGCTTGGAGAGGTTAAAACACTTACCAAAAGGCACGAATCTGATAATATCACTATTAGTAGGTACTTGATCAATGTGTCCATAATGAATGAACAGACACCTACCTAGCCCATTGTAGAACTAGAATTCACACTCAATCAGAGATGATGTCAAAGCTGAATTCAAGGAATACACAGCAGTTTGTGAGAGAGTGATAGTGAACGGGATGGTTTTTCAAGCAGAGAAGATTGCTTGTTCGTCCCAGAGCAAAAGTTTACAAGTTTGGGAGCTGAAAGTAGTATAGAATGGCTGAAGTACAGAATTCTGGGGGGGGTGTATGAGGGAGTGGGGAGGAAATTGTGACATACTTTCCTTCAGACACATAGCCAAGTGGTCTTTCCTTTCACAGTAAATATTGAAATATTGATGGCATGTTGTAAATTGTTATGGGAACCCTCCCATGGTAATGAGACCATTTTTCCCCTTCCACCTGTACTTCTTTCAGCCTAAGTTTCCTTGATGTGCTCTTGTAAGGTGTATAGATTAGTTATGATTAAACTGTAGAGCACTAGGTAAGCAGTGTTACTATTCATTTTCCAAATGATGCCCACTGCCATTTCTGGCATCTACATTAGTACCAAATCCAAGGGACCTGAAAGAAGGATCTGGGGCCTGGGGCTCCCCCTGAGACCCAGATAATAGTGATGAAATGTGACAGGTGAGGTGGATCAGAAGATTACCAACTGCAGTTTGTTTGCTACCCAGGAAAGGATACAGGGAAATTATAAGGACACAGGTTCTTTAGGGATGGTCAAATTGCCCTCTATACCGTAGTAGCTCTTATATTACAGCTCTTGTCTTCATGATGACCTCGAATCCTAGAAGGAGGTAAAAATAATGTTTGATAAAAGGTGTTTCAGAAGCAGAGTAATATAACCAATAATGGATTTTCAGTGATAATAGTAAATGTAAAGAAGTTTTGATGAATAAAAGAGTGTGAATTGGGTATTTGGAAAACTCACTATGGACAGCATTTTATTTCCTAAAGATGTTGTTTATTGAGGACTGACTCCGTGTGAATTATTGGTTTCAGAGTTAAACCTTAATTGAAAGCATCAGTTCCGTGGTTTTGCATGGGTACAATAGTCTACTATGGGCTCATCAACTGTAGTGTTTTTGTAATTATATTTCAATAGGAACGTATCAATGAGTGTGATGAGAAATGTCTTTCAGTTTTATCAATTATTTTAGAAGCAATGGAGCCATGCAAGAATGTGGATGTTCTTCGATCAGGATTGCGGTGAGAACTCTATACTTTCTTCATGTGGCGATCTTTGTTTTTTTAATATCTCAAATCAAAAACCAAGATGAAAGTTGAATTGCTTTTTATGTTTGTTTGGGGAAAACTTTGATGGTAGTTTTAATACCTTATTAAACTTAAAATTCTCACTACGGATCAGGTAAAGGTCGAAATAATGCTGTTAGGGTCCACAATAATGAAGGTATGAGCAGCATTGAAATCTAAGTTTAACATATAATACTGATGTGGGCTGGCAGAGAATTGACAGGTATTCAGTGCATTATGGTTATTTGTGCACTGTGTGGAGGTTACGTGACACTGGCTTGGCTTGAAAAGGAGCTTGAGTTTTACAATTTATAAAATTGATGCAACTGCTATAATGTTATAAGCCAGTGAGAGTAATGCTTAATCCCTTTTTTTATTGGCAATGCCTTGGGGGTATCTTACAATAATCTGATGTGATTTGTTCATTCATAAAGATAGCAGAATAATTTGAGAGGGAACAGTGCTAAACTGGTCCTAGGTCTTTCAGTAACTACTCCAGCGGTTCTCAACCTGTGGACCGCGAACCTTTCACAGGGGTTGCCTAAGACCATCGGAAAACACATATATAATTACATATTGTTTTTGTGATTAATTACTATGCTTTAATTATGTTCAATTTGTAACAATGAAATTGAGGGTCACCACAACATGAGGAACTGTATTAAAGGGTCACGGCATTAGGAAGGTTGAGAACCACTGAACACTGTCTTCGGCAGGTAAATCATGTCTGTTGGCTTCATATTTCTTGCCTAGAAGTAGGAACTGGACCAAATGACTTTTAAGATTTCTCTTCTGGTTTTAAGATTCTAGGTCTATGGTATTTATTCTGTTTGATTACAGGATACTAGTTGATCAACAAATTTGGAAAATAGAACGTGTCTTCACATTACAAGCTGTGATGAAAAGTATTGGA